CCGGGACCCCCCCCCCCGTCGCGGCCGCTGGCAGCCCGCACCGCGCAGGGTGTCCCCCATGTGTGCGGCCAGCTCGGCGGCGCAGCCCCGGGGGATTCAGAGCCGACGAGCCCGAGGCCTGCCGTCCTGCCCTGCGCCGCCTTGAGGCCCGAGGCCGCCGGGCGGCAAGGCGGGAAGCCGCTAGCTGCGGCGGGGAACGGGCCGAGCGAGGGTCGCGACGCCCAGGCCCCGCGGAGGCGCACGGTCGACCCCGTGAGGCGTGGCGAGCGGCGGCTGGCTCACTTACCACTGTCCGGCGGGGCAGCGCACCGGGGGTCCGCGACAGGGCCCGGCGCAGCCTCCGCGCCCGGCCCGAGCGGGTCCCTGCCGAGCTTTCGGAGCCGCTGTCGTCGGAGATCACGATGAAGTCCTCCATGGCTACGGGCCCGCGTGAGCCACGCGCGAGGGGCCGGCCACCCCAGGCAAGGGCCTCGCTTCCCGCTGCTGAGGCGGCCGCGGCAACGGCAACACTCCGCCGGCCCCACCCCTTCCCAGGGCCCTCCCCCAGAGCCCGCCCGAGCTCCGCCCACCGGCGGACAGCCGCCAAAGGGTCAGGGCCACCGTCGCTGTGCCCTGGAGGCCGCTCGGTCCTCCTTTCCCACCGAGGAGGGGAAGAGGGCGAGGAAGGTAGGAAGGAGAGAACAGAGAGGCTAGGCCTGTGCTGGGGCGGGTGTGGGTGACGCTGCGGTCGAGGGAGTTTCCACAACTGCCTTCAACTGATGACAGTGTGCTGTGGGGTGGGACCAGCCGCTGGAGGTGTGAGGAGGGCCGATTGGGAGATCCACACTTGGCCTCCAACAGAACAGATTGACAGGATTCAGTGGCTTCCAACTGGCAGGCAAGGATAGCGAGGCCCTGAGTGACCTAGGTAGGTAACTGGTGTCTCATTGATTGGGACAGGGTCAAGTGAAGTGGCTTCTGGCTGAGGTGGGGGAGAGATCACACTTCTATGTATGTGCAAATAGGGTCATAGGATCAATTCCCAGAAGTGGAATTATTTGGGCCAAATGCTACATTTTTGTTCTTTCGGTAAGTGGTGCCAAATTACCTCCCTAAGTTGTACCAGTTTGCATTTGCACCAACAATACGTATCAAGAATTTAAACTGTCAGATGTAAGAGTTGTTCAGTTGGTGGTTGGATGAAAAAGCTGAAAAGGTACACACAGAAAAGCTATTAGGTAGCAGAAGGCATGGATAGTTAGATGCTACAAATAAGCAAAAGTTACAAAGATAAAAAGGGCATCCCCAATAGAGGAAATGTTGGTAAGTGGTTAGTTCTTTGGTCAGTGGTAGGCAGGGATATTAAAACTGAGGTAAGATTGCAGGGCATGGTGGCCCAGTCCTTTAATCCCAGCACTTGGGAGGCAGAGGCAGGCAGATCTTTGTGAGATGGAGGCCAACCTGATCTCCATAGTGAGTTCCAGGCCAGCTGGGGCTACAGGGAGACCCTGTCTTTAAAAGACCAAATAAACAAACAAACAAACAAACAAACAAACAAACAAAAAAACCAAGGTAAGCCCAATGATTATAAAAGATGCGGGATAGTGACAAAATCCTGCTGTTTACGCTCAGACAACTTTACAAAATATAGTAATAGATTCAAATAAAAATGTTTAACAAAAAATTTTTTTCTACAAGAATGACTGTTAGGCACCATATAAGCACTGTCTAATGGGGTGATTCTAAAACTTTAATGAACACCTGAATCATCCAGAGAACTTAACTAAACATTGCAAGACCACACATCAGCATTTCTGACCCAGATACTGAATTTTTGAGGGCTGGGTTCCAAAACTTGTATTTCCAACAAATTCCTATCAACTGGCATTGATAATCTGGTGAACACAGTTTCGAATCACTCGTCTGAGCCAAGCATGGTGGTGCATGCCTTCAATCCCAGTACTTGGGGTCAGCTAGAAGGGGAGGGAAGAAAAGAGGGGAGAGAGGAGATGACAGAGGGGAGAGGAAAAAGGAGAGGGAGGAGGAAGAGGAGCAGGAGGAGGAGGAGGAGGGAAGGGAATGGGAGGAAGAAGGGGAGGGAGAAGGGAGAAGAGGAAAGGGGAGGGGAGGGAAAGAGGAAGAGAGGAGAAGAGGAAAGAGAAAAGGGAAGATCAGCTCATTGGCCTGGGGGACAAGGAGTTTATGACCCATAGATTTCAGTTGTTGTGATGGAATCCATTAAGTTGAGTTTATCCTAAGTTTAGCTCCCCTTTTTCTGTGGTGCTGGGGATTGGATTTACGGCCCCACACATGATAAACTATACCCAACCCAACCCCCCCTCCCCTTGTGCTGGATGGCTTTAGTGTCAACTTGACACACCTGGGTTGAGGGAGCCTCAATTGGGGAATCGCCTCCATAGGACTGGCCTGTGGCCATGTCTATGGGGCATTTTCTGATTTATGAGTGATGTGGGAGGGCCCAGCCCACTGTGGGTGGTGCCACCCCTGGGCAGATGGGTCTGTGTTGCATAAGAAAGCAGGCTGAGCAGGGGCCAGGGGAGCAAGCCAGTAAGCAGCATTCCTCCATGGCCTGTGCTCCATCCAGCTCCTGCCTCCAGGTTTCTGCTCTGAGTTCCTACCTTGGGCTCCCTGATGAACTGTGACCTGGGAGATGTAAGACAAATAAACCCTTTCCTCCCTAAGTTGGTGGTGGTCAGAGTGTTTTGTCACAGTAATGAAGAAATAAACTAGGACAGAAACTAATACCAGGAGTGGGGTATTGATGTGACAGACCTGACCATGGTGTTTTTAGGAGGATTGTGGAAGCATTCAGAACCTTAGGCTGAAAAAGCCATTGAGTGCTCAGAGTTTGTTGCTGTGGAGCTTGGAACAGCTATGCTGAAAGAGTTGTGGATGATGGAGGCCTGGCTTCTGAAGCTTCAAGGGAAGTGGAGACTATTAAGGCTGTTCATTTGATATTTTGAATTGAGAATCTGTGGGGTCTGGTCGGCTGGGGCCAAAGAATCAGCTGTGATTAAGAAGAGACCAGAACCTGAAGAAAAAGCTTTGCCTTACTGGGACAACTGATGCTGGTTAGCTGGGGCTGAAAAATCAGCTAAGTAACAAGAGACCAGCATCACTGTGGTGAAGTCTTCTGGAAGGTATTTCCTCAGGGTCAGCACACAGGGGACCCAAGCCTCCATCTCTAGCTGGAAGCAGGGCTTGGTAATATGTCAGAGTCTCCTGCATGGTTCTGGTATTGAAAGCATGAAGGGGTCATGGGGAGCAGCTGAGGCTTGGCATTCTGAGAGGCTAGGAAAAGCCATTGGTGAAAGTGTGGCCTCAGTTACAGTGAAGACCCCAGAACTGAAAGGGTCATGGAGAGAATCTGAAGCATTGCATCCTCCTGACAGGCCAGAAGAGGCCATTGGTGAGGGTGCAGCCTCAGTTTCAGTGGCGACACCAGCTTTTTGGAGATGCCCAGACCGTGGGGCAACCACCAAGGACAGCAGCAGGTGTGGAATGGAGCCCAGCCTGGGTCTGCGAGACAAGCTGTGTGTGCTGTGGATGACAGAGTCAGAGAGGTGGAGCTGCCAGAACCCTTTGGAGCCCAGAAGATCATGAGTGAATCCCAGATGTCCAGCCTTGAGCTACTTTGCTAGACTTTGGTTTTGCTTAGGTGTGCCCTATTCTTCCCTTTGAAATAAGACAGTACTTGTTTTGAATTTTACAGGAGCCCTCAGTTAAGAGACTTTAAAAAAAGACTGTGGACTTTTAAGTATTTGGGTTTTTTAAAGGATTATGGGGCTTTTAAGGGTATACTGTCTTATGTTATGATATTAATGTTAACATATCTTGGGGTAAGAATTGGAACAGTTATGGTTTAATAATTATATTTGTTTGTCAAGTTGACAAGGGGTCAATTGTGCTGGATAGCTTTAGTGTCAACTTGACATACCTGGGTTGAGGGAGCCTCAACTGGGGAATTGCCTCCATGGGACTGGCCTGTGGCCATGTCTGTGGGACATCTTCTGGTTGATGAGTGATACAGGAGAGCCCAGCCCACTGTGGGTGGTGCCACCCCTGGGCAGAGGGGCCTGTGTTGCATAAGAAAGCAGGCTGAGCAGGGGCCAGGGGAGCAAGCCAGTAAGCAGCATTCCTCCATGGCTTGTGATCCAGCTCCTGCTTCCAGGTTTCTGCCCTGAGTTCCCACCTTGGGCTCCCTGATGAACTGCGACCTGGGAGATGTAAGACAAATAAACCCTTTCCTCCCCAAGTTGGTAGTGATCAGAGTGTTGCAGCAATGAAGAAACAAACTAGGACAGCCCCACTTTTTTTTTTTAAACATCTAAATCTTAATGTTCCTCAGCTTTCTGACAGTAACCATTTCTACATATTTTCTCCCTATATAATCTCAACTAGTCCCATGACTTCAATAATCACCTTATACCAACAATACCCAGCATGTTTATCTCCAGCCTAGCCCTGTCCTTAAAGTTACATTTACAAATTTCCAGATAGATATTGATGTGTCTAGATGTCCCAAGTTGAGCATGTCTAAAATGACTCATTTCTATTTTCCCCACTGAAAAATGCTTTTTCTCAAAAAAGTCTGCTTTCCTTTAGTGTTTTCTGTCTCTGTGAATGATGGTATCATCAGCCAGCAACTATTCAAATGAGCATTCTGCTTGATTTCCACTTTCCCCAAATCCTATCATCTCTTAAATGCCTCTTGCATGCATTCATTTTTTTTTTTTGGCTTCTGCTGCTGTGATTGTAGCTAAGTTATGGTCACCTCTGGCTTTGTGTTCCTGAAACTACTCATCGTCTTCCATTCCTTTCTACACACTCAGCGAAAGTGATCTTTCAGAAAGTATGTGATCATAGCTGGTAGCACACACTTACAGTTCTAGCACTTAGGGGGTGGAGGCAGGAGGATCAAGAGTTTGAGGTCAGCTTGGGCTACATAACATGACCCTGTCGCAATAGTATACAATAATTTTCCCTTCAGTGACTTCCTTAATCACTCTATCTGCTATAAAAAAAAATCACAGACTGTGTGGCTTAAACAACAGAAATTATTTCTCCAATCTCATTCCAAATACTGAAACTTCAGCTGGATTACTCAAAATATTTAATGTTTTATTTATTTCATAGATTTTCTTGTTCTTTTAGTGCAAGTGAACTTGTATCTTACAATAGCTTAGAAGTGTTGATGACGTTATTCCCTATTCTTCCCTTTTTTTTTTGAAATAGGGTCTCCCTGTAGCCCCAGCCATCCTGGAACTCATTATGTGGACCAGGCTGGCCTTGAACTCACAGAGATCCACCTGCCTCTGCCTCCTGAGTGCTGAGATTAAAGGCCTATGCCACCATGCCTGGCTCCCTTCTTCTTCTTTTTTTTCGGGGGGGGGTTCATATTATAATATTTTCATAGATTTATTAATGCATTTTGATCATATTCACCCTCATGTATCCCTTAAATTAAAAAAAATAACACCGATTTTAAATTTCATCCTAACAGGTTTACATGTGTTTCAAAGAGCCTCAGAATCCCAATTAGGGTGTTTTTTACATTTATTGTCCATCAAGGCTCCCTTCTTCTTAAGTGAGGATGAAAAAAAGAGAAAGATTGGGGGCTGGAGAGATGGCTCAGCAGTTAAGAGCACTGACTGCTCTTGTAGAGGACCAGGGTTTGATTCCCAGT